GCTCATTATTATTTTTACTCCTAAAATATCACTACTATTTTGATCAATAAGAAAATATATCACAACTATGATAATATGTATAATTAACTATGTTTTAGTTGAATTTATGAACTGTTACAATTGACCCCGTAAGTGGGGACAATTGTAACAAGTGCACGACTCTCAAAAATTGTTAATAACTAATATAATAACATTTAAAATAAGTTTTTTTTTTCTAGTAGAGGATAGTCTACTTTACTCGTCTGTCAATTAATACTAATAATATATTGGATTTTTTGTTAGTTAAAAATAGTTAAGTAAAAAATGCTACAATTGACCCCACTCTCCCCTACTAAACTATCACCATCCAGAATATGGATTACTTTCAGTCATAAAGAAGATTACAGCCACAAAGTTAAAAAGAAGAAAATAATAAAATAAAAATATCTAGAACAGCGTTTTTCAAAAGGGGAAAAAAATATTTCCATTTTTGTCAGACCAAAAACGCGGAGATGAGAATAAAACATTTTTGTCCACGGTTCTACATATAATTTTTTTTTGGTCCTAAACGTGTTCTACTATTTCGTTATTTTATTTTCCCGTTAATTATTTAAAATTTCGCCATTACAATTATATTTTTTGTAAAATGCTGGTTGGAAAGCAATTGTTTATATTACTAGAAATCTCGCTCCGGTCACTCGCTTCGCCCCTTAATTGCTTCGTATTCATTATCTTTTTTTTTTTTTTTTCCTTCTTAAGAGTTAATATTTTCCACAGAATTAAAGAACCATTTTTTATTAAGATATAAATTTTTGGCAACAGCTACAGCGTTTGTTGACAATCGTAAGGAAATGAATGGTTATTTGGATTTGTGAAGCATTTAATTGTACTTAAGATTAAATGTAGAACAGAATGTGTGACATAATAAGGAGAAATTATTAGGAAGTAATTTTATTCGTTGACGGAGACTTTATCATTACAAACAGGAAATAGTAGTTTTCTTTTGTCACTTAAAAAAATTTTTTTTTTTAAATATTTTTTAAAATTTTAATATAAACGTTGAGAGTTATATCTGGCAACATTTAATATCTCTCTTTCTCCTTTTCACTACTTTTAAAATGATTGTTCTTGTTTTCTAGTGGTACCATCTATGGCCAAGAATTCAGCTTCTGCCACACCCATACGTCACACTCGTTTATAGGGCTGACCCATTCATATACCCATTCATTCATCCACAGATTGTAATTTTGACCTGAACCAGAGAAAGATCAATCTCCAACTCAGTAACCCCACATGCATAATTTGTTATGGGAACATGGAGGACTATATGATACGGCAGGTTTAATTTTCTGCAAGTCACAATTAACTACACGGGAAGTCTTCCGCTGGCTGGCTTCGAACTCACGTTCTCACAAACGTGAGTCCAGCGCCCTACCAACCAGACTATCAAGGTCCCAGCACGAACTTATAAAATATAGATTTCGAGAGAGACACGTAAAGTTTCCTAAAGCAATAATCATCATTATTTAAAGTTAAAAAAAAAAAAAAGAGTGATNCGGCCACTTGATAGATAAATCGCGAAAAGAGCTATTGCAATTGTAAAAACTTTTGAACAAATTAAATATTGAAAGAAAAAAAAATACTAGTTTTAGTTCATAATGAAAAATGGCTCTTTCAACACATCGAATTCCAACTCCTTAGTTGCAATCCTGTGGGCTGCACAGCGAGCCACGTTGCTCTTTTTATTATAATAGTTATTATTTCTTAAGCTTATAATCGGATGTTAAATTTTTTCATTCTATCGTATTTCCAGGTACATTTTTCTGCACATCTTTGTAATTTCAATTTCAAATTTCTAAATCTTATTGTTTTTGCGCAGCAGTACAAAATGTAACGTAAAGTAGAACGCACAAGACAACGGTGATAGCGGCTGTTGCAATTTTTTAGTACTTAGAAAAAATAATAACGATGAAATGATGGCTACGCCGCAACAAAAAGTTCACGATAATAACATTGGTAATATTGTAACAAATATCGATTCTGACTGACGAATAACATCAATTTTGAAAAACATCAAATTTTAGTAAATATTTAAGGTAGTAATTTTCCTTTTATTTTGTACTAGGACAAAAACTATTTATAATCTATATTGAATAGAATTGTTTTTTATTTTTTTAAAAATATTATTAGATAGTTTTTAAAATATAGTTACAGCTATATTAAATATAGAAGTGTTGTAAAGCAATCATAAAATAGCCTTACACTTATATATTTTCGATAGAATATAAATTTAAATTTTAAAAAAAGTTTATAAAAAAGAAATCAAGAACTTAATTATTCATTAAAACCCATAGTTAGCGGTCTCCTAGGGTTACACTAAAATTTGATTCTATGTAATGGCGGAATTCAAGTGACTAGCGTAAAAAATAACGAACGAAATAATATATTTTATGATAGATTAAAGAAATTAACTTGAGGAATCATAGCCTGGGAATTGAATTTAATTGTTTCAAGTTTATCAGTTCTAAACAGAGAGAAAAATAAATATTTGCATTTTTTAAATGATAAAATTTTTCCCAATTTTCTAACTAAAACTTTTTATTTCAATTTCGAATTAATTTCTGTAAAAAAGATATTTTATACATGAAGAATCAAATAACAATTCACAATGCCCTTTATTTCAAACTTGAGAAATCTCTATAGTACTACTACGTAATAATTGCTTTAAATAAAATATAATAAATCAAATAAATTACACTTTGATACACAACATTCACATATTGAGTACTTTTTCACATTTCTTCAAAATTTAAATTGCTATTATATAGTATAAACATTAATAGTTACTGTTAGATGTATAGCATAACGAAGTTATTTTATGAAGAAGAAAAATGCTATTAAAATGGTATTAAGGGTTATTTCTAATCTATTTAGACATAAAAGTAGAAAATCAAAATACTGCTATTAAATACAATTTTTTCTTAATTTGTAATGAGAATAATAAAATTGATTTAATTAAATAACAATATAAAAATTTAATATTTTCTAGGAGTAATTTCCAGAATTTTTTATTTTAAAAGCACCAGTAGTATTTCTATTTTCGAGAACAAAGTTATAATTATTATATCCAAACAAAAATGTATTAATAAAATGTGTGCGACTATAATTTTTTATGCTAAAAACACTAATATTTCCCTCTAATAGATTAAAAATTAATTATTATAATTTTTTATTCGCAAATGTAAAACCTTCTCACGAAAATTTATTTTATAATTTTTTACATTTTAAATAATTAATGTCAAATTATTTTCCTAATTTATTTTTTATTTGCAGTGCAATATTTTTACAATATTGCAATATTTTTTTTATAAAGATATAGATAAACATTTATGTGTTATTTATTTTACCAACATTTATTTTTGTTTCACTTTTATGTTTGTAGCTATTATAAACTTAAAATTTCTGTATAAATGAGGAAAAAAAATAGTTTCTATCTATTGATTGACTATAAAAAAAAATATGATTAATTAAAATTTTTTTCCTCTGAGCTCAAACAAGAGCATTGAGTTGAATGAACAATTTACAATCATTTTAAAAAAATTATTCCAACATTAAATATCTTATTTAATTTATCCTCACATTAAAGATACGAATTCATGAGAGAGAATAAATTTTATATTGAAAAAAAAACATTCTATGTGAAAGAGTAGTAAAATTCTAAATTAAAAATTAGTACCAATTACTTTCAATAGATATCGCTGCAAAGCACGGTCTCTAAAGAGTTCTCTCTTTTCCCATTGGCTCATTCGCAACAGCTGGGATCCTGTGACGTCATCTTCCGTATTAGCAGAGAAAGAGGGCACGACTGATGAATTTCTCCTCTTCTCTTTTATAATAGAGTAGTGAAAGGCAAGAGCGGAGTGGCTGATTCTCAAATACCATGTCTCAAAAATGAATATCTTCGCGAAGGCCGGTGATTAGAACTTTTTAAAAATGCAAAGTGATGATTATGATTCAAGCAAAGCGGATATTTGTTTTGATTCTTTAGGGTGATCGCTTTTTTTTTGTTCACATTGCTCGGAGTTCGAGGAAAGACTTATTGATCGCCCGAAAAATTGAGGAGAAGAACATGGCCCCGGCTTTCAGATAATTTTGTCGCCCCATCTGGCACATCCCAATGCTCGTTCCTAATTAGCCTCGGTCAGTTGTTGACCATAGGACCGGATGTATTCATATATAGTATTACAGTCTAATAGTTTAGTAGTAGATGCAAGTAGCTATAGCACCAGCCATGTCCAGAGAAGTGTACGGGAGCAGCAGCGTTAGCCAGAGGTCACCCAAGCCCCCGCGTCGACCAGATATCCATCGAGATACCAACCCGGACTCTTCCTCCAAATATTACCCTTCTTCCATTTCTCAACCAGTATCGGGCAGGGTAAGTCCAGTTGGGTCAAGAGCTGTACCCTCTGACCAAGGGGTCGGACGGAGGAGCAGTCGACACGGTTACGGCGTGAGTCGGTCTAGCAACGCCAGCCCCCTCACCGTACCGACCGACGGACCAGTACCGCATTCAATCAGTACATCCGCTTTTAACGTAGGGCACGGTAGGACAGCATCATCTCATCACTATTACAACGAAGATTTGGGCAGCCCCACTATGGACGGACGTGGGGGAACAGGCGGCACCGGGACGGCCCCCGGCCATCACCGTAGCCGCTCGGCCACTCGGGTCCCTCTCCGGAATTATCACTCATTAGAGAGGGATCAGGATCGGGAGTTTGTTCCCATCCGGGATCCTATCCGGGATCCCAGAGACCGGTCACTTGACAGGACGGACATGACTGGATCCGGCAGTAGGCATCCAAGAAGCAGGGAAAGAAGCCTGGACCGAGCCGGATATCGAGATCGCGATGACCATGCCTATAGAGATATGGACGGCCCTTTGGAAGCTGATCCATACCGTGATACGGGACATTCTATGTCGAGATCTGGCCATGGAGCGTATAGTGACACTAGGCATGGTTATGGTGGTAGATCTGGAGGTGATGGGTTCGTAACCGAAATGCAGCAAAGACTGAACGATCTCCAACTTCAGTATAGTAATATGAAGAGGGAGTTGGATGCGACCACTCAAAAGTTAGGATCTAGCATGCATAGTATAAAAACATTTTGGAGTCCGGAGCTCAAAAAAGAAAGAGCATTGCGGAAAGAGGAAGCAGCGAAATATGCTCTTATTAATGATCAATTGAAAATTCTGCGGTCAGAAAATCAGGTAAGATTTCTAATATCTAATATGCATCGGGTGTTCTATAATCACCGCCTTTAATTAATATATTTTAAAAAATTATTTCTGAAAAATACTCACATTAGAAAAATGCTGTAAAAATCTGCCGAATCACTACTGAAGAAGGCAGATTGAAAACTTGTTTGATTGCCTGATGAAGCATGGAAGTATTTCTGGCAATCGCTTATCAACGCCATTTTGTTTTTTCTGACAATCCAACAGGGTTTGACGTTTTTGTCCCCGCCTTTCTCGATAGTGATTCGTTAGGTTTGAATGACGTTATTGATTTTTTCCCTGCTTATATATTCATTTGCGACCTCTAATTTGTACTTCTTATTGCTTTATTTTTGATCAGAAATCTAAAAATATGTTTAAAGAGAAATCTAAAAAATTTAGAGAGAGATTAGGGAACACCCTGTTAGGCATTCCCCCCCCCCTCACCATAGTAATTGTAAAGTTTTCATTGCATGTTTTATTTATTCGGATCTAAATTATGTCTTTTGTTGTTGTTTTTTTCGACATATCGAAAAATAGTTCAACAATATTTTATCTATGAATTATTTTAAAATTAATTTTCAATTTTTGCATGGTATTTGGTTTTAGGAAATAATTTTGTAGTTTATTGTATTTTTATCACGAGCGACATAAAAGCAAATATTTTCAACCTTGGAATCATGAAATAGGTAATAAATTAGGAGCAAATCTCTAAACTTTTGTAAATTAACTCGTTTGCTAGTTGCAATTAAATTTTAATTCAATATTTCTTAATCTCTATATAGATTATGTACTTATTTTGCAAACTTTTTTTTTTCTTTTTTAAAAAAAGGGAGATTATTAACCCAATTGCGAGGTGTTTTTTGTGCCCCCATATTTTTTAGAAAATACCAGAATGGAATAAAATGGGAATAAAACATTTCATATGGTATGTTAGAATATTTTTCAAATTTTGGGCTCTTTGGCTGCTAATTAAAATATTTGGCTGCTATAAAAAAATATACTACCTTATCGGTTATTTTCTATAGATAATGCTTTTTTTTGTTTTTTTTTTTAACATGACATGAGCTATGCTATGAGTAATGTAATAGACACGGTTATTATCTATCTATTACAACAAATTCTTAATCTAAAAGTGTAACACAATATCAACCTGCTGCGTTTTTATTTTATTTTTATCAAAATGGAAAAATCTAACGTTATGCAGCTTTGAGATTTTAAAGATAACTAAGATAATTGAAATTTTGCCATCAAATAGATGTGAGATTTTAATATAAATTCGCTATTATCCTTTTTTTATATCCAACAGATGTCCAATACATAAAATTAAGAAATCAGATCTTATTCTTTTATGTCAAAATATTGTTTGACGATAGAAATTTTTAATTTTAGTTTGTAAAAAAAAGCATCGCAAATTAAGGATTTTAAGAAATCAAGTATAGTGATTTTAAAACAAATTCTTATTTGATAAATTTATTGGTGTTTTCTTTATTACTATTTTATATATTGAAAAAAAATTACAGTTTAACATTTTAGCTAAAAATTACAATATCCATGGATTAATTTGAAACTAAAATAGAATTTATTTGAAAATAAATGTTCTATCATACATTGTTTTGAGGATATTTTAGTCGATGTCGTTTAAGAGGGATTAAGGAAAAAAAGCAAATAATTTCACCTTCGCTTTCACTCCACTCCTTGAGGGGGAAAAAAGTAAATAAAAACACCAAATCGTAAAATAAATAAACAAAATCGTGGGTGTTTTCATTGACAACATGTGCTGGCAAGGTCACACTGTCTGATGTTATCGTCTGCTCTTAACTCAGTAATTTGTAAATTATGCATGTGGGAACTAATAAATTTTTCGTATTCGATTATTTTTTCGTATAAATTTTTTCTTGTTCGGGAGAAATATTTTGAATGAAATATTTTCTACTTAACAAAAGTTTAATTGTTTTGAATTTCAAATTAAATTTTATTTTTTTAATTCTGTTTTGAATAATATCTTTCTTCCTGATTGTAAATTAAATTCTCATATTATTTAGCAATTTCTTTATTTTTAAAATTAAAATATGTTTTGAAAGGATTTAAAAAAATAATAATTCCAGAAAATATGGTTTTTATAACTAAGATTAATCCATAAATGTTCCAAACGCAATATTTCAATAATATTTAATAAATTGGACGCTTGCTAAAAATCAAAAAATGTTCCAAATCCCTTTGGTTAATTTGAAACAAATTTTTAAAAAAATCGTAAAATTTTGCAAGATGCAATGTTAAACAGAAATACTATCAAGACCTAAAATTATACGTGAAAAAAGATTATGGTGACTAAAATATTATTTTTTTAAATTTAATTGAGGTTTTGCAGATTTTCCTTCGAAGAATATAGTTTAATATTACCTATATATCTCTATCGAAGGTTGAGTTTTTCGATATAATTTAATTTGAAAAATATAATTTAATACTAGACTTATATTTCTAATAAAATTTATGAAGTAAATTTTTTTTATCGATGTGAATTACAACTTTCAAAAAATATATATTAATCAGATATATATTGACAGATAGAAAGATAAAATTTATTAATGTAGAATTTTCCATTATTTATGGAACAACTATCTTCAAAAAATATAGTTTAATCTACGATTTTAAAAGAATTAATGAGCATTGGTTTTTCAACAATAAGGAGCAAAAAAAGAATGTAGTTTAATGTTATATATTTCTTCACGAATTTACGAATATAGAGATTTCTTACATAAGGGAAGAAACCACCTTAAAGGAATACAGTTTATTTCAGAAATATTTGGCTTATTGCCAGGATTCGTCATTCCCTGATTCAAAACTGTCTCGTATTTTAACACATCGCTAGATGAAACTACAATATTCGATTAACTTTTGAAAGCAAAAATTGTGCATTTTAATAATAAATGAATTGAACATTTTGTTTTTATAAATTATTTTCCCTCTATTACTAAGTATTTAATGTTTTTTTCGTAGCAATTATTTATTCTCAATAATATTTTTAAATGTAGTACTAAAATGTTTGCTGAATTAAAATGAATGTTTTTAGGCATTCTATTAAAGAATATAGTTATGTCAAAGACCAATCAAAATAAATAGCACAATTTAAAAAATATTATTTTTCTAGTAACAACACATTGAATATATTATGAATAGGATATGCATTTATAATTTACTGCTGTGCTAAAGTACTATAAAAAAGCAGTGTTATTAAAAGCAATAGTTTATTAAAAACTCATAAGCGTTTCGATAGTGGTACACCTTTAGCAGTAAGATAAAATGCTACTGATTTTTCATATTCTACTGATGAAGGTGGTACCATTGTGTAACCGAAACGTGTATAGTATTTTAATAAAGTGTTACCATTTGTGATTTTAAGCGTTTTTTTTAATGAAATTCTGTTTTATCACAAAGAATTTCTGTTGTAATTATGTATTAAAAGTAGTTCCGTATTTAAAGTAATAATATCATGGTTCAACGTTCAGTCGATTTTTCTTAAAGTATTTAAAAATTTCTAAAATGAGGGAAGCTAGTTTTAGCTTTTTAGTAGAGTAATTTAACGAAATGAGTCATTTTTATTCAATTATTTTTTAATCACATGTCCATCCTTCATAAAAACGTTATTTTTTAGATTTCTGTAGAGGGAAATTGATTGTTTTTCTGGCCAAACGCATAAAAAGTAAATGAACCAATATTTAATTGAACTTGGGTTTTGATGACCTGAATTGCTCTTATAAAAATAAAAAATGCTCTGAAAAACATCCAAATTGCTCGCTAAGTTAGAGAAAATTATTTTATATTTAAAAAAAAAGTTCATGTGAAATATTATTTTTTTCTTAAATTTGCATATGATTGGATGCCTGCAAGTGACGTCAGCGGAGGTAAATCATGGTATTTGTCGATTCAGAAGCCAATCGGATTCGACACACACGCATTACGTCTCTTACAGGTGTTCAATTAAATTTTATTTGAATCACATGGTTAGGCATAATCATTTCACTTCTTCTCTAGTTTCAAGTACCCAATATAAAGTATATCAAGAGGAAATATCAAGAGAACAGTTTTCAATAAAGTTTGAAATGATTGCTAAATGGTTATTAAATGTGGAAAAACAAGGTGGGATTACCCAGGAGATTATAACAGTTACGATAGGAAGACAAAAGTATTAGCAAATTTTATAACAAATGACAAAATAAGAAAAAAGAAATAGAAAAAAGAAAACTTAAAAATGTGATAATTAAATACTACAGAATGCATACACAAAAATTTCTTAAAATGTAAAAATTCTCCTAAAATAATAATAAATGCTCCATAATCTTTAAGAAATGTTCTAAAAAACAATAAGAGTCCAAAAATGCTTATGTCCTCAAAATTGTTAATGTTAAGATTAATTTCATTAGTGGCTAGTTAGTGCATTAATTGCTGGAAAATTTAATAGTTAATAATTATACTGATATCGTAAACCGGGGCGAGTCTGCCCATTTTTTCAGTTTGTCAACTTTCAAGTGGTCAAACTTTTGTAACATTAAAGAAAAAAGGCTTTTAATAGGTGTTTCGGAATCGCTATTTATCCCTCTTTAAAGCTGTGAAATCGATTTTAGAAAATATTAACAGTTACGCTGTTACTGTATATTTTTATAGAACTGCTGACAAATCTCTCGTATGGGGCGAGTCTACCCATTCTACTAAAATGAATGTTAACATTGTAAATAATCAAATTTTACTATTAAATTGTTATTTTAGTTACTATATAGGATATTTATGAAGTAAAATTCATAACTTTATTATATATTCCATTTTTTTATTCATAAAATAACACAAATTGAGTATTTGATCGATTATCACATTTTGATCACAGTTTTGTTTTTATAATCATTAACATTATAAAATAACATTTTTTTCTGATTATTGTTGATAAAAATAAATTAAAATTAATATTGTTATTGTTTGGCTTTTATCCTTTGGATAGCTTTTTCCATCTCAGGTGGCATTTTTTTGTAACATTTAAATCCATTTGTTTTGCGAATATAATTTCGAACCATCTGTAATAATAAATAATAATTTATTTAACTTGCATTAAATAAAAAAAGTTAATTTTGTAATATAAAAATTGAAAAAATAGGTAAAATGAATATATTTTATATTTACATTTATATTTAACCTATAAATTTTCTCATTAATGATAAATTTATCAATGCAGAATTAAAATAATATACTCAAATTCATTTAAAATGGCTTAATTTTAATATAAACAAATTTCTAAATTATATTATTATGCTTTATTAAAACTAAATACGAATGGGTAGACTCGCCCCGCGAATTCTGGCTTTTTGTTTACAACAGCAAAACTTACATTCTTTTTGTTTTTTTTCATATAAAATTAATGTAATCTTAGTCTTAGATAAGTTTATCACTTAACCAAAGTGAAAATAGTAATAATAATAATATACTTACGGAGCACCAACTAAAAGTTTGCTGATTTTCAATACAAATCTCTCAAAAGACGTTTGAACAGGTCGGTTAAAAAGACACCAAATAAATAAAAACGGATCAAACTACTACAGCGCCATCTTCCTTAGAGTCTGAACTAAGTCCTCCGTCATTAAAAATTTTTTTATTCGCAATTTAAAATTGTGAAAATTAAATAAAACTAAAATGGGTAGACTCGCCCCTGGATGGGTAGACTCGCCCCGGTTTACGGTACTATTTTTATACATTATTTTTAAATTCATGCTTAAAATTATAATGAACTATTAATAAAATAGTTTTTATAAATGATATTTAAAAAAATGTAATTTTTATTGATGTCATTAAAATTGATTAACCAGTTAAACAAAAATACTTGTTGATTATTGCTACATAAAAAATCTGTAAATCTTTATCCAAAATATTAACAAAAAATCATTGATTTTTCTTCTTCTTCCTACTGGTTTCATACACCGGAAACAAATAAACTGAACCCATATTTCTTTCAAACTGGAGTATTGAAAAGGAAATGAGAAAATCGATTCCTAATGATTACGCTTCCCTATCTCTAATAGAACCTTAAATAGAATTTCCGTTTCTAATCCCAAATCAAGATTATTTGTAAATGACCAGTAGGCTTAGCATTTATCATTACCAAATTTATTTTGGATGTCAGTATTTCATTTATTTTGATGTAGCGTGAATCGGATTAACTGAATGATTTTGACAGGTTTTTA